GAGTGAGGATGAGTCCCGTGTATATGTAAAGCTAGTGGGAGTATAGTTAGCTTTCTAGTATTGTATGTTGATGACATACTGCTCATAGGAAACGATGTTCCAACCTTGCAGGAAGTTAAGTCCTGGCTTGGAAAGTCTTTTGCTATGAAGGATCTAGAAGAGGTTGCTTACATTCTGGGGATAAGGATATTGAGAAATAGGAGTAGAAGACTAATCTGACGTAGTCAAAGTACTTACTTGGATAAAGTGCTGAAGCGTTTTAGCATTGAGAAATCCAAGAAAGGAGAACTACCTATCCAGAGCAATACTAAACTGAGTAAAACTTAGAGTCCGAGTACCGATGTCGAGATAGCAGAAATGAGTCAGATTCCATATGCTTCTGCCGTTGGATCGATCATGTATGTTATGACATGTACTCGCCCTGATGTGGCTTTTTGTTTGAGCATGGTCAGCTGAAATCAAGGGAACCTCGGTAAAGCTGACTGGATAGTTGTTAATAACATTCTTAAGTATCTGCAATGAACCAAGGACTGGGTCCTTGTTCTTGGATGCAGTGACGACTTGAGAGTTACTGGTTACATTAATGTCAATTTTCAGACAGACCGAGACAATTTCATTTCTCAATCAGGTCGGATGTTTACACTCAATGGGGAGAAGTGACTTGGAAAAATTCCAAGAAGGAGATCGTGGTTGATTCAACGTGTGAATCAGAGTATATAGCAGTGAGAAAAGTGTCAAAGGAGGCTAAATGGTTGAAGAACTTTATTGGAGACATTGGAGTTGTGCCAGCCATAAAGGAGCGTGGTGGAGATTTTCTATGATAATGAAGGAGCGGTTGGCTTAACTATGGAGCCAAGGGATCATGGCAGATCCAAACATATCGACAGAAAATATCATTTTGTCAGACGTCGGGTAGAAGACGGACTCCTCATTATCAAGAGGACATCGTCAGAAGAAAATCCTGCAGATCCCCTCACAAAGGGTCTGAGTAGGATTAAGCACGTTCATCATGCGAGGAGCATTAGTCTAAAGGACGATATTAGTTTCAGTGATTAGAAAGATTTTTAGAAACTTGTAACAATATAAATGTAATTGACGTTTGATGATTAATTAATGGAGATTTATTTATAAATAATTGTTTACTATCTTTTGTCAATTGTTTATTTTGTGTTTCACTTTTTCATGTTTTACTTCCCGAATAATTGGATTGTTCAAATTATCCACAGTCGATCATACTTTGGAAGTAAGTAATGAATTAAGACTATCATGAATTGGCTTGTAGATTGTCTAAGTGTTTAGACATAGTAATGGTTTGCTGCAACGTTCATGAGTACTCCTGAAATGGGGATTTGACTAATGGATTAAATCCATGCTCATTTAAATTACTTCATAGAATTTATCATGAGTAATTATGAGACGATAATATCTTATAATCTTTAAACCGAAATATATGACTTGTTATTTACGAGTTGGTTGTGCATTGATAATGCGTAAACGCATCAGTAACTTGATGTTATAAAACGCATTGTTGTGTATGATTTGATTAGTAAATAGTACATACATATAAGTCAAAGTTTATCTATTCTTTTATCTCAAGGGGTAAAAGCGATATCTTGGGCCCCTCGATAATTTTGTGTTGACTTATGTGTCGGGCCCGGTAATGACTGAATTGATATGTTCATTTAAGTTCCTTGTCATACAAACCAGAAATTAGGAAACAAAATATTGTACAATGAGAATGATTCTATTCCATGTCTTTGTCCACATGATATGTTGTAAAATGGAGGATTATATGATCCATTATCTAAAGGACACACAACTGACTAGGTTAGAGTTCAACAACGGCTTTTGAGAGCTACGATTGCTAATTAGATTATGAAGTTGTACTTTCGGTTATAGTTATTAGACTTATCCAAGTGGGAGACTACTGGATTAGGTCTCTAAGCCCATAATTATAATTGGTATGAACTTGATTTGATAATAACATGGTCCTTTTGGGTTGCCTTCACTTTAGCAACTTGATAGAATGACTTATGGAGAGAGAGGTTAATAAATGATTTATTAATATATTATGAAAATAATATATTAATTAGAAATCATATTATTTAATTAGTATTTGATTAGAAATTAATTTTGAATTAATTTGTGGGATTAAAGGAACTGATTAAAAGAACGGGGACTGTTTTGGACAGAGTGGATGGAATCTATAGGGAGGCCCTATAGAATTCGTCCAAGGCTTCTAGAAGAGGATGTCCATTGATTGCTTAAGGCCTAAACACGAAATTAGAGTTTCCACCTGAAAACCCTAGCAGCCTCAACTATTTAAAGACCCTTTCACCAAGGGTTTTCGGCCGATGCTTAGAGCATAGAAACCCTAGCCGATATTTTGCATATTCCCTCTTCTCTCCTCTCATCCTCTTGCTACAAGTGTTTGTGAGCCATTAGAGGTGAAACATTTGAGGCACTAAGTTTTCAAGAGTCAAGATCAATCAAGGAATTCTTGTTATTACTACATAACAAGCAAGGCGTTTTATATATGAATTTCAAATTATATATGTTAGATCTAGGGTTATTGCTTGGGAATTTCTTTTGCATGTTCAATTAGTGAAAAACTTAGATCCAAAGGAATTAGGGTTGCATGAACACGTAGGATGTTGTTATGCTCAAAACCCATTAGATTTGTGGGACGGTTTTAAAGGTTTAATTTTTTCATGAATTTTATGGATGTTCGTTATGTCTAGTATATATGGGAACATATGTTAGATGTTATTAAGTTAAGTTTATCAAAAAAAAAAACCTTGTTAACCAAGTAAATTCAAGTTCCTTTTCTTCCTATTATTTCCTAGTTTCCTCTATTTGTTTTTTTTTTCTTTCTGATGTTGACTGACTTGTATTTTGATCATCAAGGCAACATCAGGCTGTTACCTTACTCTTTGTATTAGAGCCTAGGGCTCGTGAAGATGTAGAAGGCCGGTTTGAGAGTTGGTTTCAAGAAAAGTGTAGCTTTCGGTGTAGGGCAGACACAGCAAGAAACCGGGTGGGTCGGTTGAATATGGTGCAATTCAGCTTTAAACACAAATTGAGGCATCTTAATAGCAGTCTTGATTTCTCTTGTTGTGCTTGTTCTAGGGTAGTGAGAGACTAGCCAGAGGTGTGGAAAAGACGGGCGGAAAGACATCAAAAAGGTGGTGTTGATTCAGTTTGTTTTGCGGGTGACGGAAGACGGTAAAGGTGGTCGTGACCTTGTCTTCTTGTTCAGTGGAAGAGTGCTCTCGTAACAAGGTTGATTAAAGCGGCCAGGGTTGTCAAAAGAGAGAAGAAGATGTTAATCAATTGAAATCAGAAAGCAGAAAAATCAAAGGGTTGTGTTTACATTAATTGGATAGCAATGATTAGCTAGGAAGAAAGATTGAATTGCTCGTGTTACAGGGAGACCAACATAGGTGCGTGAAAAGCGGGCATAAAGGATTCGTTAAAGCAGGTGGCTTTAGATTCGATTCGTTTCGTTTGGAAGGTTGAAAGAAAACGATGAAGTGGGTGGCTTTGTTTTCTTATTCGGTGGAATACCTCTTTGAACAACTGTGATTGAAACAAAGGAATAGATTGGAGAAACTACATGGTGTGACCATTATGGCATTGGAGTTTAAATTGGATATGGCTTTGGATGTGGTCGGGGAGAGATCGTGAATCCAAGAAAAGTCTAGATGATAACGAACGTGTCAAATGGATGTCATAGTATATGTTACATGCGTTGTCAACGATCGAAGGAAGTGAGAAAAGACTTCAGGTATCCGGGAAATGTCGAGAATCAGGTTTGTTTATGGATCACAAGTATCACATGTCAGCCGGTTGGTAGTTTGAATGGGTCATTTGGGTCCAATGTTTTCTTTATGTACAAGATGAATAAGGTAGATTACGTTGAGGTCGACCGATTCTTAAGGCAAGCGTTGTGTTTAAAACATGGGTTGAACGCATTGGATTAAGGGGGAGCATATTGTATTATTTCTGAATTAAGGGGGAATGGTGGATTAATTCAGAAATATGGGACAGCTTTAGCCCAGGGGTATTTTTGAAAAGTTGTTTTTTAGATAGTTTTTGAATTGATTTGGATACCTTTCTGTCTAGTATATATAGGAAAATATGTTAGACGTTATTAAGTTAAGTTTTTCCAGAAAAAAAACCTCTTTAACAAAGGTAAATTCAAGTTCATTTTCTTCCTGTTGTTCCCTAGTTTCCTCTATTCGTTTTTTTTTTCTTTCTACTGTTGATCGACTTATATTTTGATCATCAAGGCAACATCGGGATGTTACCTTACACAGAATGCATATGGTTGTTCACAACTTTGAAGCAAGGGGTGTGTTGGTTAATTGCTAATAAAATGCTTCAAAGACTATCCTTTCAGTTTTTGATTTGAATACTTTCATAAAAGCTAATTAAATTAGTAGTGTTAATTAGAACCTTGACGCAAGTGATCTCCAGCATGGCTGGTAGTGATGCACTGGGTTTATATCCATGTGGGCTGCATGTCGTGGGTTCGATTCCTTCTAGGATCGTAGCAATAGCGTAATTCTACCCATGCCTCACACGGGCACACGTGGGGAATTTTCCCTGGAAATCCCCTTGGGGGCTGGGTTTGCCCGCTTTGCGGAGCTCGAACTCGGGGTGCTCGTTGAAATATTGCGAGTAGGCTTCCGTTGAATCATTTGCCGTTTCCAAAAAATTAGAACCTTGACAAGTTTTCATTTTTTCCAATTTCTATTTTCTTTTGGTAGTGATCTTGTGTCACTTGTAAGCCTATATAAGGCCACTTTTATGTTCGATTATATACACATTTCCTTCATCCACCATCAACTTGTAAGCCTAGCTCTATAAGGCCGATATCATTAATTAAACTTGGAAGTATATTAAGTACTCTACCTTTAATTCTGTCTTAACTACCATTGACCAAAATCTCAAAGTAAAAGTCAACTTTCTAGACCACAACACATGAAATCATTTGTAGCCATTAAGTCTGTTTTATCCGGTTAAAAATAAGATTCCAAAAAGGTGTCAAGAGAAACAAGCAACAAAGGAATCCAAAATGCATAATTGGCAATGTCTTAAAGGATATCCACCATTAAACAAAAATTGATAGCAAATCATCAACATTTGTAAGTTCACCAAATTCAGTTACTACAATACACCACAATTTTCAAAGCATAAAGTCAGCCTTCTGGAGCAAAACAGGTGCACTTCCATCATCGTTTATACCCGTTAAATAACTAAAATCCCCACCAAAATAAGCTTTCAAGAAAGCAACCACAACACCTCCAACAAATCTCCTCATAGGTTCCCTAGACTTCCCATTCTTACACAAACAATGAGTAGTCTTCCCTCTAATCCCTTTCGTCTCATCATCAAGCATATCAAGATGCCCATAATCCTTCGCAACAAAATAACAAGCTGGTTTACAACATTCACTATAAAAGTTCTCATGGTTTACCCCTTTTGGCGCACAAGCTGGGAACAAAAGGTTTTTCCTGACTTCACCAAGACCCGAACCAATAACCATAACAGGCATTTCAAGATTAAACGAATGTGGAACATAAGTGAGCACCTTTGGTGGAGTTTGCTTCCCTGTGTCCATTCCATCAACAGGATCGATTCCAATCAGTGCAGAAAATTTCAAATTTAACTTCGTGTTTATAAGCTTGTTTAGAGCAAGGGCAAATGCGACTTTTCCTCCACGGCTATGGCCAGCCAATCCTAGCTTTCTTAGGTTTGGTTTTACTTGAGATGGGAGGAACTTTTGAAGTCCTTCAGGTAGCCAGTTGGTTATTTCAGCTACACACTCGACTTCTTTAGTTGCATCGGCTCCTGTGACTGAATATAACTGTTGCATGCATAGGAGGAAAGTAACGGTAGTCGTTAATGTTTTGGTATTCATATGAACATATAAATCTTTTCATATATATAGCACGACAATCTTATATAAAATATGGTTGAACTCTCACGAGCGCCAATCTTTTTACACTAATTGATCTATAAGTACTAAATAACTTATTTTAGGGGAAAAAGTAACCACCATATTTAACAAATGAACCATTATTTTGACTATATTATTATAAAATGACCACCAAGTTCATAATTGGTCCCTTGCAAATTAAGAAACTGCTTTTTTCCACCACAAAGAAAAAAAAATGATAAATTTACCAAATACATGTAATTTTGTTTTATCTTTGTGATTATTCTTTTATCTTATTTGTAAGTTCAAATTAGTGTATACTAAAGTAGAAAATAAGAAAAGAAGAAACCTGGGGAACGACGATGATGAAGCCATGGGAGGCGATGTGATGACTGAGCTGGGAATAGAAGGAGTTATAGAGAAGATAACCATGGAGTAAAACAAGAACTGGGAATTCTCCTTCTTCTAATGGTGTAAATATCAACAAAGGCTTTGGAGTGATTTCGTCTTCTGGTTTTACAAGCTTTGTTTCATGTTTTCCAATGGCGAACACCTCTGTTTCTGAACCTACAGCTGCAACGGAAGAAGGAGCCATCGATGAACTAAATCAAGTTTAGATTTTTTTTATTTTTCTTTGGTGGGATATTTATATTTAATATAATATGATATTGAGATAAAGTTCACTCCTTTTTAATTGTGTGGTCTTCATATACCCATCTTGAAGGTTAGTGGAGACGCAAAAAGTATGGGAGTTGGGACTTCCGGGCTCCTATGTAATTTTTCTGAGATCATGAAAAAAAGCTATAATGCCAAAACGTGGGTCTAATACATTCGCACAAAATTGTTTCAATTTTCATTGGCATCCTACATTTTAGGTTTTTTTTTTCTTTTTTGGAACCGATAAAAGAATTAAACAGAAGCATGTATAGGTTTCTGCGGAAAATTTCTCAATATAAGAAGTAGTTTAAGAGAATTGAACTCTCAACCTCACGTCTCATATAGATATAATATAGATATAAAATCCGGAACATTAACACAAACCTCACATCTCATATAGATATAAAATCCGGTACATTAACACAGTTAGATATCACTTGCTTGATTTTAGTTAAGTTTTAAAATTATACTATGCGAACATCCATGTATAACCAATAAAAGTTATTTAATTAACCTTTTTCCAAAATTAAAGTTAAAATAAATAAAAATAAGTTTGTATAACATATTGTTATTGTTGGGGAAAAATGAAATAGGATTATTGGAAATCTGAATTACAAACAGGAATCGTATTAACACTTTTCTTGTTTGATATTTCGACCCTATATGCCTTGGGTATCACGAAATCCAAACTGGGATAATCGTTTCCAGTTTTCTATGTTTCAAAAGAGTCGTTATTTTCCCAGATTTATCTACTCAACGGATAAACCATAACAGTTTGCAACTTTCAGAAAAAAACAGATTAGCCCTTGAAGTTGCATTTTTCAATGATGACATATTAGGGTTCGGTACTAACAATGTTTAGTAAATACAAGTGTGCACTCTCACACCTTTTAACTTGTATTATAACTAAAATATTATTTTTGAAACATTTGTTAAATCCATTACACTAAAATATATTTGGTGATAAAATCACCAACAGTTATTTTCTTGACTCGTAATAATAAAAATGTCTATTGTAAGGTTGAATACTGAAATAGTTATTATAATCAAATACAATTCAAAACAAATTTAAATTAATATCATTTGAAATAGGGATAATGATGTGAAATGGTAACGAACTTTCAACTTTTGTCACATTTAGTCACTAAACTTTTTTTCATTATCTATTTGCCATTGAACTATTAAAACTGTTCACATTTTACCCTTATGACTGGCTGTTACCGGTCATAAGGGTAAAATGTGAACAGTTTCAATAGTTTAGTGGCAAATAGATAACGAAAAAAAGTTTAGTGACTAAATATGAACAAAATCGAAAGTTAGTTTCCCTCTAAAAAGTTCATTGACTAAATGTGAACAAACTTCCTCTTGTATTATGTTTTAGAAAATTATTTATTTTTGTTAAATTGTAGCAACATTGTGACATCCCCATTTTCACGGCCAGAAAAGACCGATTTTGTTTATGCTTTATAAAAATCATAGTTCTTCTTTTAATAAAAATGTTGCGGAATTCGTTTCCAGAAAAACACGATAAATACGTTATTAAAACATTTTCGAAGAAACGTATTTTATTCATTTTAAAACGTTTGGGATGTCATCATTTATACAGGAACATAAGCATAAACAGAACTTACATTTATTTACACTAGTGATCTACATCTCTTTAATCTCTCAGTGTAATGTGACTTCATATCAACACCTGTGATATAAATAAACTGAGTGGGTCAGTTTGGGAAACATAGTGAGTACATAGGGTTTTCAACCCACAATAATATAATTATTATGTTTAAACAATCAAACAATCAACCTAATTACTCATCCCCATTATCTTGTTTACTCTTAAGGATTTATCCTAAGAGTCATCTATTCTACATTCGTTTATTTCGAAGTCCCTTACTTCCAGGGTTATAAGTCTGGCACTAAATCCATAGCTGCCAATGGTCGTTCATAAAGCACTAATTCCATAGCTGCTATAGTCTATTCATCGGGTACTAAATTCATAGCTACCGGTGTTTATCTAATAGGTACTAAGTCCATAGCTACCAATTCCTTAACAGGTACTAAATCCATAGCTACCGGTGTTTGTCCAATAGGCACTAAGTCCATAGCTACCAATGTTTATTAGTTAGGCACTAAGTCTATAGCTGCCAATATTTACTCACATCATCTTTTATCTCTCATCATTCATCTACCCGTATCATACCCAACATATTCGTGTATATAAAATACGTATACAGTTTAAATCATCTAAAACATGTATAAAAACGTTCATCCAACATAGACAGCAAGTATTCAGATAATATGCACACATAGCACGTAATTTATATAAAATACTTCATATCTATGTGTAAGATGAAAGTAACTATGCACTCACAACACGTAATATATATTAAATACTTCATATCTATGTGTAAGATGAAAGGGACCATGCACTCACTTGAAAAGGTGGTGATTCCGAACTCAGACAACGCTTCACTTCTTGAAAAAAAAAAAATTTCCTTCGACGAAACCTAGTATTATTACCACTAGAGTTTAGTCTATTATTCACCGAGACTAATTAATAGTCTAGTTATTATTACTATTATATAACCGTTAAATAATACTTATATAACCCATAATAATAGCCTAATTTCTTATTATATGTTCTTAATAACGTTAATATAATTAAATAAAAACTATATTAAAAATAGCGTAGGCGTAGCTCATTTACAGCGGGTTTTATAGAAAACCAGGCTTTGCTTGGATCAGTATTCCCATGCGGAAAATCTCTTCTTCTCGGAGTCGTCGAGCACTCAGGGGCTTCCGCATTGTGCTAGGGAGGTTCCCTAGGCTTTTCGGGGGGTTTTGGGGCTAGAGAGATGTTCTAGAGAGAGAGTAAAGAGAAGAAAGAATGAGAAAGGTGTGAAGAAAATGAGGGTGGTAGATGTTCTATTTATAGGGTGAAAATGGCTAAACTTGGTGCCACATGTCATCATCTAGTGGCAAGACTTGGGGAGAAAGCAATGGCCAAGATTGTGCCACATCACTCATTTTCGCACAACACACTTCCGACTTCTAAAATCCATGACTTTCACATACGACCTCCGTTTTTGACGTTCTTTATATCCACACGTAGGTAAAAATAATATCTACAACTTTCATTTTGACTCTGTCGGCTAATTCTCGACCGATCTTAAATTTAACAGTACGAGGCGTTTAGACTATTAAATGACCGCGAAGAATTCGTAACTCCTTCATACGGACTCCATTTTCGTCTGTCTTTTTACTGTTGAGTTCCTATTAATGAGATATTCAACTCTCATTTAGGTTGCTTAAGCCAAAAACCACTCGAACTAAAATTCGAGTTTCGGGTTGTACACTACTAAGCCGAATCTTAGAAAAATCATAACTTCTTCATACGAAGTCAGATTTGGGCGTTCTTTTTATGGATTTTCTCGGTTTAACATATTCTACGACTTTTGTTTAGATCACTGAGGCTGAATCTCACTCTATCGTAAATTCACTTTTTACGTTTCCCGGTGCTGTGCCGGTTCCGTCGCGAAATTTCGACGGGTCATAACTTCTTCGTTATAACTCGGATTTCGGCGTTCTTTATATGTACGGAAACCTTGTGATATATACTACAACTTGGTTCAAATTATTTATTCTAAATAATATTTTGTCGAAAAGTCATTTTCGACCCCTATTATCTCTAAATTGACTAGCCCGGATCTACGGGCGTTACAAACATTTTTTGATGAAGAAATCTATGAAATTAAAAAAAAAAAAAAAAAAAAAAAAAAAAAAAAAAAAACCTGAATATATATTTAAAAAAAAACAAAAAACCAAAACCGAAATAAAAAACTAATGGTTTGACATTTTCCAAAATAAAAAATCAAAATTTCCAATCTGATTTTGGTTGTACAAAAAAAATGAACCATTCTCACTGATGTGAATTATGACCATTGGTTTGGCATGCGGAATTTGTGACATCTCATGAATAGGTAGTTACAACATCGTCTAAACTTGTAATTTATAGTAAGGAGTTAGAGTATCATCGCATGAATACGTAGTTACAACATCGTCTGAACTCGTAATTCATCACCTACAGGTTATGGGCCTACTGGTGTTTCCACTGGGTTGTCTAGAATAGTCTGTGATTGTCATCTATACTCTGGCATTAGTAAAGTCCTTATAAGTGCATTCTCGGGGTTGCCCATGACTCTCGCCATGGTTAGATAGGTGTGTGCCAGTTCTCGAGTCATTTATACTCGAGTTATTGAGCTGTGACATGGCAGCTGCTACCGCTGCGGTGACTGCTTCTTGGAACATGACAGCATCAAATTGAGGAAGTGGAGGTGGTGGTGGTATCGGTGTTTCATTGATAGGGTTACGTCTGGTATTCCTACGTGGCAACATCTTTAACTATACGTTTAAAAGATGATGATATGGATAAGAATAAGTGAACAATGAATGTGTCTCATGAACCAAATTGCTATGGTTCAACAACAGATGATAGCATAAATCTTAAAATAGAAGAATGAAAGTTATTTGTAAGACTGAAAGTATGAAACAAGTATTTGGTCCCTCGACGACTTTTCAAGGTTTGAACGAAATACTCAACGTAGTAATAATAGTGTCACTTATATTAATATAAAAGTTGATGCAACGATCATGAAAATTTGACCCCTATAAGGGTCTCCGATTACAAAGTTCGAGAAATTTAAAGACTTTTAGCTAAGGTCCTAAGTTATAACAAAATTTGAGGTTTCACAAGTACTACTTGCGATGTGTGTTGCGCTTGGAGCTCGATTCTGCATCAGATTGCTTCGACTCCATAAGACGCCTATCAAAGGCGGCTTGTTGTTCCCTCAATTCTGCGAAGGCTACATTCGCTTGTGCTTGGAATGCTTCGGCGCGGAGGTGGATGTCATTCTGCAACATCTCCAGGTGGTTGATATCGGCCGTGTGGACTTGTACTTCCACGTTGACCTCTCAGATTCGGTTTGCTTGAACCCCCGATTGGTAGGACTGGTTGGCTAGTTTACCTACCATTGCTGGAATCGCTCGGTCGGCTGAACCCCCGTCCCTGATGTCGTAGAAGTCTCGACACATTCCGTAAGGAGAGCGTATCCCTTGTTATTGGATCCAGTGGACGAGGTGACTTCCCCAAACGGGAGTCGGTCCTAGAAAGTTCCTCCTAATGGGTGGAGGGTTGACTATTTCCAGTTTCGAGTCTGTCCTGGAGTCGTCCCCGCCATCCAACTCAATGGGCTCTTCGTCCTCCTCCGGATCCTCTTCAATCCATCCTCCGTTGCCTTGTTGTGGGTAGTAGGGGTCTCCATG